ATATCTCAAATTACACTATTATCGATCATAATTATGATGCGCTTGTTGTTGGAGCTGGTTTGTGATATAATTTTGAGAATAAATTAATTTATAAAAAAATAAAGTAAATATCACCTGATAACTTATATGCGATAAATATCACCTGATAACTTATATGCGATAAATATCACTGATAACTTATATGCGATAAATATTACCTGATAACTTATATGCGATAAATATTACCTGATAACTTATATGTGATAAATATTACCTGATAACTTATATGTGATAAATATCACCTGATAACTTGTCATATATGCTGAAAAAAGGAGCTTATCGTGAATACTTATATCAAAAACTTATCATATATAAAAATTTAACATATCATATGAAAAACTTATCACATATAAAGATTTAATTTGTCATATAAAAAGCTTGTCATACATAAAAATTTATATATGTATATATATCTCATATAAACCTATCAGTGAAAAAAAAACTTATCACACAAACTTATCATATGCAACTTATAATATGGAAAAAAAACTTATAACTTATCATATAGAACTTATCGAAAATTTGTCGTGCATTTATCATACAAATTTATATTGGAAAAAAAAGAACTTATATAAAAACTTATGTCATAATGTAAAAAACTTATAATATATATTAGCTTACAATATCATAAAAACTTTTATATAACTTATCATTTTAAAAAAAAGGAAAAGAACTATCTCATATATAAATATCAGCTGATGACTTATCAACTTTGCAAATATGTAAACTTTTGAGAAATGTTTTTTTTTTTGTCACTTTTTATTGACAAGTGATAGGAAAGCTTAATAAGTTAAAATAAATGATTTCGCAAATGAAACAAAACGCGTTATCATTTTTTATTGATAAATGATAGGAATATGATAAGGGATAATAACAGTCGGTTTTTTTTTATTACATTATATTGATAAGCAAAAAAAAAGTAGTGAAAAAAAAAGTTTAGTAAAAAAAACACTGTTTATTGCTTTTGATGAAGTTTGTTTATTTTTATTTGCTATTCTTATCATGTCATCATTATTTACTGATATATGATAAGAATACAGTAAAAGTAATAGATTTACTTATAATAAATTCTACATTCGTTTCTTTATTTAATAAATATTCTTATGATAGATAAAATTACGCAAGCATTTTCATCAAAAAAAAGATCTTTTATATTTGTATTTTGGCTTTTTTTTTTTAGGAATCAAATAATCTTAATTAATTTTTTATTTTTCTGCTTTTTTTTTACTAGTATGCAAATTTTAGGAATAGTTTTGTTTGCGTTTTAGGTGGAGCAGGTTTACGTGCAGCATCACGTCTTGGTGAAGGTGGCTTACGAGTAGCTGTAATAACGAAATTATTTCCAACAAGATCACATACTGTAGCTGCACAAGGAGGTATTAATGCAGCAATTGGTAGTATGAATCCGGATAATTGGAAATGGCATTTTTATGATACTGTAAAAGGTTATTTAATTGATGCAGTTTTTTTATTGTTCAAGCAATTAGCAAAAACTAATTAAATGTAGTTTTGCAGCAACAAAATGTATAAGGTGACAATTTTACTTTTCAATTTCACAAATTGTCACATACAATTCTAATATAATTAATGATATTATGACAAATTTCTGGCTAAAGTTCGAGATTTCTTACAATTCGCTCAAAAAACGAATAAAATAAAATATGAAGTGAAATTAAATATAAAAATACAGGAAGTGATTGGTTGGGTGATCAAAATGCAATACATTATCTGACAAAAGATGCTATTCGAGCGGTAATTGAACTTGAAAATTATGGAATGCCATTCTCGAGAACAGCTGAAGGGAAAATTTATCAACGTTCATTTGGTGGGCAAAGTAATAATTATGGCAAAGGTGGAGTTGCTAAGCGGTTAGTTAAAGGAACTTTTTTAACTAATTAAAAATAATTTATATTATTTTCCGAAAAAAAAAGAAAACCTAAAAATTACTTATAAATAAGATTTTAACATAGAATAAATGAAATCAAAATTATTTTTTATCTTTAAAAAATTTTTGGACAAGAATTTTGCATTCGTACATAAAAATGATTTTGTTACAACGGAAACCAAATATTTCATTTTATTAAAAATTATATTAATTTAACTTTTTTTTCTCTTTGAAAATATATTTACATTAATTATTTCATTTAAGCACAAATATCCCTTACCTTATCATTTTTTTTTCACACTTATTTTACTTCAAATATTGATATTGTTTGTTTTAATGAATTATTATTAGAATTATAGCATAATTTTATTCATTATCATTTGAATTTATTTATTACTTTGAAATATTGAAATGAATTAATTTTCTATTTTATAGTACATGCGCTGTAGCTGATCGTACAGGTCATTCGATGCTTCATACACTTTATGGTGCATCATTACAATTTCATTGCAATTATTATATCGAATTTTTTGCTCTTGATCTTCTTATGCATGAAGGAAGATGTATTGGAGTGATTGCAATGAATCTTGAAGATGGAACAATTCATCGTTTTCGGTATTGTTTTGAAATTATAAATTATCGATCAATTAATCATTTGTATTATGTATTGGAAATAAATAATTAAGCATCATCCAATATTGTATTATTAGATAAATAAAAAAAATGCATTGAAATAAATTTTTCTGCAAATTTCATTTCCTATACAATTAAATATTATTAATATTGTATTATTAGACAAATAAAAAAAATACATTGGAATGAATTTTCTACAAATTTCCTATACAATTAAATAATACCAATATTGTATTATTAGATAAGGATTGTTCACAAAGAATATAATAAATGATAATTATTACTTATAGAGCACCATTTACTGTATTAGCAACAGGTGGATTTGGTCGAGCATACTTTAGTTGTACTACAGCACATAGTACCACTGGTGATGGTAATGCAATGGTAATTCGTGCTGGTTTACAAACAACTGATATGGAATTTATCCAATTTCATCCAACTGGTATTTATGGTGTTGGTTGTCTGATTACAGAAGGATCACGAGGTAATTCTTTTTTTTTTCTTTCAGTTAATCATTATTTACCAACATTTCTTTAATATAAATTTTTTCTTTCTTTTTAATCTTTAAATAGTAATCAATCATAAATTTCCAATTTTATCACTATAAATCACTAATAAATAAACATATTAAGTACAAATTTTTAATTAAATTTTCAATTAATGAAATTTATTTAAATATTAAAAATGATTACAGGAGAAGGTGGTTATTTAGTAAATAATAAAGGTGAACGATTCATGGCAAAATATGCTCCAAAAGCATTAGATTTAGCATCTCGAGATGTTGTATCCAGAGCAATGACCATTGAAATAATCGAAGGTCGTGGAGTTGGTAAAGAAAATGACCATATATACTTGCAACTTCATCATATTCCTGCGGATCATTTACATAATAAATTACCAGGTTTATATATTCATATTATATTATAAATAATTTAATTAACAAAATCAAATGAATGAAAAATAAATGATTGAAAAAATTGGTATAACGAGTTTTTTTTTTGTTTCTTGAAAAGCTGAAAAACGCATCCGATATTTTAGTTGCATCGTAAACGGGAAATCTGCTATATTAAAAGTATTTGTATATTTGCATAAAACTATGAAATTAAAATTATTTAAAATGGGGAAATAATTAAGCAAAGTTATTATTTTGTAATAACAACAAAATTACTATAGAAAAAAGTTTTTTTCTCTCTCTCGAATAGTTTTATTACAACATTTATTATTGTATTTGCTCATTATTCATTTGCTCATTTGGTCATTTACTCATTTACTTATCTACTCATTTAATTATTCACTCACTTGCTCATTCATTTATTTACTCATTTACTCAATTACTTGATTACTTATTTACTTATTTATTTGCTTACTTACTCACTTATTTGTTTATCTACTCAAATACGTATATTCCATTCATTTATTTACTCATTTATTTAATTATTTAATTACATACTTACTCATCTACCCATTTGCTTATTTACTCATTTACTTAATTATTTACTTGTTCACTCATTTACTTATTTGCTCGTCTGTCTATTTATTCATTTACTTGTTTACTCATTTACCAACAGGAATAATGGAAACGGCTAAAATTTTTGCCGGTGTTGATGCGACTAAAGAGCCAATACCTGTAATTCCAACAGTTCATTATAATATGGGTGGAATACCAACTGATTATAAAGGACAAGTAATAACCTTTTCAAGTAGTAAAGGTGATCAAGTAAGTTTTTTTTTTTTATTTTAATAGATTTCAATAATATTTCTGCGTTGAAGTGGGAAAAAAGAAAAGAATGAACAATAGTAATTAGATAAATGAATGTTTTTGCATATAATTGGAAAATTTTTCATTAATTTGGAAACTCGATTTGAAAAAAAAAAATCATAAAGCTAAAGAAAAAAAACGATTGGAAAAGATGATATATCAAATAATTCCTAATTAATTCCAATTAAATAATTAATTTGAAAGTGGACAATCGTAAAAGTAGAGATAGAAAGATAGGAAAAGATGACATATCAAATAATCATTAATTAATTTCAATTAAATAACGATTGTGGTAAAAGAAAAATGTATTTATACAGTTAGTACCGGGATTATTTGCATGTGGTGAGACAGCGGCGCATTCAGTACATGGGGCAAATCGACTTGGCGCTAATTCTCTTCTTGATACTGTTGTATTTGGACGTGCTTGCGCTAATAAGTACTGTTTTTTTTTATTTTTTTTCAAATTTTTTTCATTTCCAATAATGACCTAATAAAATTCTGTTGTACTGCAGTAAAATCTACTATATCAGAATTTACTATATATATATATATATATATATATATATATATATATATATATATATATATATATATATATATATATATATATATATAGTATATACTATATATAT